CCTATCTTGACATCAAAAGGCACAAAAATATTTTTTCCTTTTATTCCATGGATTTTACCCATTTATCTCCACTTGTTCCCAGTGTTTTTCTGCAACCACTATGCGCGCGCAGCTGCAAGTGACGTAACAGTGACGTCTACTCTGAATTGGTCTATAGTAATGCTTGCTTTAGTAAACACTACTAATTACTACTAATAGTGCGAAACAAAAGACTCATACAGACTAACATTAACGTTTTTAACATAACAGTTATGTTAAGTTGCACATACAAAACAGCAATCTGTCATCTGCGGACAAAGGTTAATGGCAACTGTCTATTTAGCAGCAGGGACAGGAATTGCCCTGTTCTTTCTGAAACAACGCATATGTTTGTACAAGTATGCAATTTACCTTGAAAGCATTGTATCTGTCGTCCATGGCGTGTTTGATCATGAGGTTCTTGAGTGCAGCTGCAGCCAGCTGTCTGATCTCGGGGCAGCCCTGGAGTCCATCAGCAACCTCTCGCAGAAGCAGACCCACCAGGAAATGGTTTTTGCAGTAATCCTCAGTCAGGCTGAACTCCAAACTCTGATCTGAAACGCATTATTTCAGGGTCAGCGATGTTCTGTACTAGTGATATTTAATTTTTACATTTACAGTGTTATGAATGTTTTTGCAAACTGTGTGGCCTTTTATTAAAAGTAACAAGCAACACTTTTATTTCATGCATCCTAAAGACGCAGTACTTTTAAAGATGCATATATGCAAATGGTGCTTAGCATACAGGTGTAACAGGTAAGGCTCCTGTGTTAAGTCACTGACATTTGTGATAGTGAAAGGCATCCAAATGAAAAGACAGTGTCTAGATGGTTGACTACTTTCAAATGCTTTCTGAAAGCAGACCTCACTGCATTCCAGACATCAAACAACAATAGAAACAGAAACTAAAGAGTGACAGAAAAACCTTGTGCTTAAAGTGAAAGCATTTGTTTTATTATTATTGAAAATAGATCGTGCAATTATAAATAGCCTTCTCTGGCAATAATACAGAAATCCTGATGACAAGTTTTTCCCCTAATGACATGTAGTTGTTCACGTACAATTGAAAATTCTGTCAATTTTTACTCACCCTCATGTTGCTTTAGACATGCATGCTGTTATTCAATCCATGAAATGCAAAAGGAGAATATTTGAAGAATCTTCTCAAAGTGAAAAGTGGGTCAGTGAACAAACCATTCGTTTGAGTCTTTTCTTTTTAAACTGGACTAAATGAATCAGAGTTCAATTCACCGATTCCATGATTCAGCCTCAGCGAAGAGGAAGATTTTAAGGCTTTTCCTCACACAAAGATGTTGTATGGCTTCAGAAGACTTACATAACATACACTACCATTCAAAATACATACTTTTTTGCTAATCAAGGATGTATTAAATTGATCAAATATGAGAGTAAAGACATTTATAATGTTTCAAAAGATTTCTATTTCATATAAATGCTGTCCTTTTGAATTTTCCACTCAAAGCATTCATCCTTTGTTTTCAACATTAATAATAGAAATGTTTTTTTTTTAGCAGATATTAGAATGATTACTGAAGGATCATGTGACACTGAAGACAATGATGCTGAAAATTCAGCTTTGTCATTAAAATGAATGAATAACACTAAGATTTTAGATTAAAATAGAAAATAGTTACTTTAAACTGTAAAATATTTCAAAATATTTCTGTGATCAAATAAATGCAACCTTGGTTGAGCATAAGAGACTTCTTTTGAATCCTTAAACTTTTGAATAGCAGTATTTGTCATCTGAAATACGTCTACAGTGTTTTAAGGTGTTTTCTGTCACGTTTGGAGCTTAGGTCACTGTGAACACTTAATGAATGGAAAATGCTACTGAAATAGGCTACTTTCTTTTTTTTTTTCTTCTTCACACAAAAAAGAAAGTAATTTGGTTTTGGAAAAACATGAAGGTGAGTAAATGATGGAATGTCTATTATGCCAATTATTTTTGGCTGAACAGTGACTTTTGTAATCCCTGTAATCTGAATTGAAAACAGAAGAAGCCACATTTCCTGTACAAAAACAGTAATAAAAATCGGATTACAACAAATGCACACAAGATGTTTCCGCACTCATTCTGCATGTGTAGTATTACACAGTTGAAAAGGGCAAGTGAGGACAGGACAAGACAGACAAATACAGGATACGCTTCATTACAGCAACAAACATCTCAGGTAGCGTGAAAACACTGCCCTTTTAATTTCTGTTTTGTAAAATCATCTCAAAAATACTCTGACAATAACCATTTAGTCATTGAATTGCATCAGAGCAATGCAAATATGTTATGCTTGGTGACAGAAAAAGCAAAGGCCTCAACCTAAAGTGTCAAATGCAGTTAGACAGTGATTGATGAGTGATGCAGGAGCACAGCAAGGCAATTAGTGAGGTTATCAGGACGATTATCTGGCGACTGGAAGTGCGTTTGCGTCGGCATCACCTACCTACGACACCGAAACACTCCGCCGCATACGAAATAAAATCTGAAATAATGAATAAAGGAAGCAATCATGCAGGATTGCCATTATCAGTGGTGGGAGTGAAGCTGTGAGGGTGTGTGGCTGTGTTTGAAATCAAATAGTGCTCACTAATGGACACTGCACACAATATATACTACATACTTCCTTTTATTTATTTCTTTATTTTATTCTTTTTTTAAATGGATTTTAAATGGTTTATTGATGCATTCAATTGATCAAAAGTGACAGTAAAGACATTTATAATGTTGCAAAAGATTTCTGTACGTCAAAGAATCCTGATAAAGCTGTATAATGATGTCCACAAAAATATTACACAAAACTATTTTCAACATTGATAAGAAATGTTTCTTGAGCAGCAAATCAGCATATTAGAATGATTTCTGAAGGATCATGTGACACTGAAGACTGGAGTAATGATGCTGAAAATTCATCATAGCAGTAAATTACATTTCAAAACATTAAAACACAATTTAAAACATCATCACTGTTTTTCCTGCACTTTGATCAAATAAGTGGACTTTTTTTTTTAAACTCACCGACCTTTGAAAGGTGTGTAAAATATAAAAGTATGTTTGCATCTTTGTGTGTATATGTATATTAGTTTCACAAACTACAGGAAAACCACAGTGAATATTATATTTTTCCACCATGTTTTTTGACTACATAAAAGCCAAATGCAGTGATTTATCTCTGATTGATCAATGAGAAGCATCAGCTGTGAAAATCTTATCTTTTGCGGTTTGGCCCACTAGAAACTAGGCATGATGAAGCGGCAGAACTCATTAGCTATCTGCAGCAGTTCTTCGATTGAAAATGAACCACTAAAAATTCATCTTAGCCATCACAGGAATAAATTACATTTTAAAATATATTAACACAGAAACCAGTTATTTAAAAATGTAATAATATTTCACAACAATACAATTTTTACAGTATTTTGATCAAATAAATGCAGCCCAGTGAGCACAAGAGACTTCTTTCAAAACCATAAAAAAAACCATACTGATACCAAACTTTGGAAAGACAGTGTACATACTGTGCACAGTATACATAATTTATAGTGCACATATGTGTAGTACGCTAGTATGCTTATCCTGGGTCTAAATGAAAAGAAAGAGAGGTCATATTATCTGAACTGTTTATGATGAGATACTCAGTGGAATAGTAATCCACACTGACTCACTGAACATTTCAGTAAAAAGAGACTGTTTTATTATTTTCTAATTAGAAATGGTGAAACTCATGACAGCCATTAAATTTGTTATAACTGAACTGGTCAAATCCAGTGTTTAGAGAAAACTTTTAAGGAAACTTTTCTGATTCATGCCTAAAACTATATGTTAAGCTTGACTGTCACCACGCACCATTTCGTGACACTTAAATCCTTGCATAGCTGGGTTTTCAGGTTCACGTTACATGGCTTAAGGAATGGTGCTGCTAGCCGATCTTAAAGGGATAGTTCACCCAAAAATGAAAATTCTGTCATTAATTACTCACCCTCGTGTTGTTAGAAACCCGTAAGACCTTCGTTCATCTTCGGAACACAAATTAAGATATTTTTGATGGAATCAGAGAGCTGTCTGACCCTGCATAGACTGCAATACAACTGAAATGTTCCCAAGTCCAGA